CAGCATTTCCCCCCAACTTCCCTCCCCTCCATTTCCTCCTACCAGAAGGTAAGGCCTCCCATGGGGAGTCAGCAGAGCCTGATACATTCAGTAGAAGCAGGTCCAAGTTCCTCTCCCTGCTTCCAGGCTATGCAAGGTGTCCCATAATAGGTAGTGGGCTCCAAACAGCCAGCTCATGCACCAGAGATGGATCCTGATCCTACTGCCAGGGGGCACCTTAAAAAGATCAAGCTACACAATTGTCTCGCTTATGTAGAGGGCCTAGTCCAGTACCCTGGAGGCTCCACAGGTGTTGGAAGACAGGTTTATATGTCAGTTTGTATCACAATCTAATCCCATAGGGTTTCAATATATATGCGAGTAGAAAGCATGAATTCATGCCTTATATTCCTTAGAAATCAGTAACCATTATCCCATTCCTACTGCAAAAAGTCAGTGATAGCTCATGAAAAGTTTAAACCTTATTTTTTATAAAAGTATATTTCATTAATAGCTGCAAGTGATTGAAACTTTTAACTATAGTAATTTATTCAAAATATATGGATAATGTATGTCCTTAATGTCTGGATGCCATCCATTACTGCTTTCTATTTCACATTCTTATATATTTAGCCATTATGAAGGCCATCGATTCTTCTGTAACAAACAAGGAGACATTTCTGTTTATAAATTATGCCAGAGCATGAGAACAAGTTACAGCAGGTTGCAATTTCAAAGGCTTAATTTATAATTGGAATTGCACAGTAAATACATGTTGACAATGTGCAAAGCATCGTAATCGTGGAGAATGAAACATAATTGCATTCAAGGAGAATATGGGGGAGCTACTGAGCTTCATAATTGAATAAGATTTTAATTATATATAAATATAATGGAGAGAAGGAGATGAAGGATTCTGAAGAAAGCAGAGCAGTATTCCTAGAAACAAAGGAGTAAAATATGCTTATGATTAAAGGTACTATTGTGTAGAGGCTCTAGAAAACCCCAGAAAAAGGTGACAAACATTTTTAAATTCCTGTTGCAGATGACAAAAGGCAATGAATACCCAACTCAAGAGAAATGGCACTATTAGACCATTAGAGACCTCTGCTCCACATTTACACCATTCCTTTCCCATTTATCATCCATGAGGATTCTCAGATATCAAAGTAACATCTATTCTCAAAATTTCATTGTTCTAGCCAAGAGGATAGTTGGGATACAAGCCTATCTACCATGGATTTCAATAAAATAAGGGTAGGCCTGTAACTTCATATGTCATAATCATAAAGTATCAAATTGAACATGACAGTTTTATTTCAAATCCCTGCTTAGACTCAAATGCTTTTTGAAAATCCTTCAATCATTCCTTTAGAAAAAAATAGAAATAAGAAAATCTTCTAAGGAGCTTATTTTTTTACTGGAATCCATATCTCTGATCCATTGTAGAATTGTTGGGCAATACTGTCAATACACTTTTAAGACACAGTGTCATAAAACCTATTAAGGCCAATATATTGCCCTCTCTAAAAGATATTTTAAAAGGATCTTGGTCAAGTAGCTACTGAAAATGATTTGAAGTATATTTTCTAGATGGGGTTTACAATTATCCCTTGTTCCAAAACAGAAACTTAGAACAGGAGCAGTTAGCATCTCTGTATAAAATCCATGCATGAGTTTATATAAAGAAGGATGAATACGTTCTTATCAGTCTTACTAATTTGCACCCAACAATTGGTGGAATACAGATGATACATGCATATAATATACACTTAGTTAAATAAATTTACATAGAGCATGTTTGGCTTTATGCTAGACATTGTACAACATAAGGAACTTGAAAAACACTAAAAAGGGCAAAGATAATGATGTTTTCATGATGAAAACATCTTTATATCTCTGAGTGAGGGAAAGTTTTCTGATATAGCCTGGGAACAAAGGTTAAAAAATGTGTGTGTGAGATCTAATTCAGTCAGCAGTACTTGGGGAAAAAAGCAGAATGAAGTCTGGGACGCAAGTATTCATAAATCAAAATACTATAATCCTTGTGGTTTTATGTGCATATGGATTAAATTTTCTTTCTTCTATGTTAATGTGTATATCAACTGTACAATTGTGATTAGTTTAAGATACATTAAATTTAACCTTTGTTCACTAATCACAATTTAGCAGCTAAACAGCCACATTTTATTATTTTTGTTTTTATTTTGTTTTTTCTTTGTGGACATGGTCTCTCCATGTAGCCAGTCTGGAACTTATGTGGAGACCCAACTACTCTAAGTTCTACAATAATCCTTCTGTCTATAACTCCTGTGTGTATTATTAAGGTTATAGGCACGCACTTTCCATAACTGTCTCAACAACCACTCTGATTTACTCATCTTTCTTATAAAATGAGGATGAGAACTAAATAACTATTTAAAATTTCTTAAAATCAAAAGGTATAATGATATATTGTGGATGTGCCCTTCCTGAACTACAAAGGTGGTATCTCTACTCACATTGCCAAAGTTAAGAAATTAATATTTAGAAATAACCCTGTGATTGTTTTACTAAGCTGATGACATCTTACTAATTTTAGGATTTTTAACTTATAAATATAGATATAATATAAAAATTGACCAAGAATATTTGACCAATGATAAATAACCAAATTACTATGACAATTAGTATTTCATATAGATTAGTCATATACTTGATAAATGAATATATAAAAATACTTTATTTTATACATGGCAGAGATGTTTAATAAAAGTCATGCTTAAGAACAAATCATTCACTTTAACATTTAGTTTTAACAAGATATATTTAGCATATGATATTTTCCTTCACATTGTCACATTTCAAATTTCAAGTTATGTACCTTGCATTTGATTTATAATTAAGTATATATTCTGGACATCACTACACACGATGTTCACAAATTTTTTTACTATACATTTTTTAATTCCTGAGGCAATCATGCCCTTTTCAGTGGACGTAATTTTATTTAAAAGTTATTTATTTTGGAGCTATAAGTGGTGACCTCTGAGATCTTTTTATTACTGAATATTATCACATGTCTGCATTCTGCTCAGTCATTTTTATTCATTAAATTTCCTAGAAAATACTGGGTTCTCTGAGCTTTTGTAGATATCTCATGGCAGTGGTAATTTCCCTATCATTTCAGTTATCTTATTTTGAATTCCAATGTTGTTTCTCAGGACACATTCCAGTTATTATTAATTTCCAAGATTTTTCATATTTAGGAGAATAAGCCTAATGCATTAATATTTGGGTGATAAATAAGAAATAAATAGCATTATTTCTAGTCCTTTAGATTAATGGTAATTTAGTAAATTACATGGGAAACAGTGAATAATTGGGAAATTTCAATAGGAACCAATTATTTGCCTTATTAGTACTCAGAGTGATTTTATATTTGATATTGGTGATCTTTTTCCTGTTAAGTCTTTGTTTCTGCAGCGTCAGGTGCCCAAGGAGTGAGAACGTGATGTCAGCATGCTACTTTTGCTGTTATTTATTACATATCCATGTTTCTTAATATCTGAACTACAGTAGTTTTCATAGCATTTTCTGTTATGCAGATATTTGCAAGTCTGGCATGTTGGCTATGACTGTAACCCTAAACCTAGAGAGGCTGAGGTAGGAGGATTTCTGTAAGTTTCTGGACATCCTTGTTTACATAGCACATGTCAAGTCAGTCTGAGTTCCTGAATGAAAGAATGTTACCATCAAACAAACAAGCAAAAAGTGTTGTAGGTATTAATCCGCTACATTCTAGAAATCAAACACTCATAATGAAATTTGGCTGCAGCACAATAAAAACTAAACCAATTACTTCTGTTTGAAAATCTGAAGAACTCTAGACATGTATCTTTATTGCATAATCTAAGGATAGCAAATCTAAGGATTTCAAAGTTTAAAATACACCTAAAACTATACATTATGTTTAGTATAATGGTTGTTTTTCTCATTATTAATTCTGTCAATGAGTATAGGTGGCCTTTCCATTTTCTAATGACTTACTCAATATCCTTCTTTATATTTTATATATTTCATTGTGAAGGTATAACCTGACACACTGAAATGCTAGATGAAAGCATAGGTAGTATCCTACAGGATATAAATGTGAGAAAGGACTTCTTGAATAAGACTCCAATTTGCATAGGAATTAAGGCAAGTGATTGACAAGTGTGACCTCATTTTTAAAAACAAAGCAAAACCTTCTGTACAGCAAAGAAAACAATTACCCGAATGAAGAGGAAGAAGACAGAGTGGGAAAGAATATTTGCCCGCTATGCTATATATCTGACAGAGGATTAATAGCCATTATATATATGTGTATATATATATATATATATATATATAAATGTATATATATACATAAATGTTTTTATATATATATATATATATATTTATATATCAACAAAAAAAAACCCAAAGAGTCATGAAAACAAATGGGCCAATTAAAAATGAGTTATGGATCTGATCAAATAGTTCTCAAAAGAAGAAATAAAAATAGATAGGAAATATCTCAAAGTGTTTATCATACTTAGCAATTAGGGAAATATAAATGAAAACAACTTTGATATCAAATCTTATCTCCTTTGAGTTGTTGGTCAGGGGAGTACAAGAAACTCCACAAACAGTACAATTTATTGCTGCTACCCTTGGTTGTTTCCCTGCATTCTACGGTTGTCACCCCTGCACTCTAGCTTCTTTGGTATACAAAGATACTCTGAACCTTACCAAAAGAGAAACATAAATACCAAGCCAGCTATAAATTCTTTGATCTATATTGCTGTCTGCCTGCAAGATATAATAGAACAATGATGGCATAAAGCCCATGTGAGTAAGCAACCCATAACTGATTTAACTTTAGGCTCATTCTAGGAGATGGATCCCATACTCAGCATTGCCTGTTGACCAAGAACCAGAGACTAGATAGTCTAAGAACCTAGGATAAAACCAAATACTACTGTTCTAAATACATAAATTCTAATGACATTCTTCCATACCCATAAATCAGTGCCTTGCTCAGCCTTCATCAGAGAATCTTCCTCCTGTAGCAAATGAAAAAAAAAAAAAATACAGACATCCACAGCCAGGCATTATGCAGAGTGAGAGAACTTGGAAAACCCAGGCTAAAATGGGATGTCTCTTAAATCACTCACCTCAGGGCTCAGGGAACCATGCGGAAGAGGAGGTATAAAGAATGTAAGAGACGGGGACAGAGGACACAACGAAAACAAGACCATCTAAATCAACATGAGCAAAGCTCATATGAACTCACACTGATTGCAGCAGCATTCACAGGACCTGCACCAGGTCCTCCATGTATATATTATAGCTTCCAGTTTAGTTGAGCATGGGATTCCTAAGCATGCAAATGAGTAGGTCCCTGATTCTTGTGCCTTCTTTGGGGCTTTTTTCCTTCTGTTTGTCTTGCCCAACTCCAATGTGATAATTTTTGTTTTATCTTATTTCCTTTTATTATTTTATTATTATCCTATAGAACCCTGTTTTTTTGTTTGTTTGTTTGTTTTTGTTTTTCAAGACAGGGTTTCTCTGTGTAGCTTTGCGCCTTTCCTGGAACTCACTTGGTAGCCCAGGCTGGCCTCGAACTCACAGAGATCTGCCTGGCTCTGCCTCCGGAGTGCTGGGATTAAAGGCGTGCGCCACCACTGCCCGGCCTGTTTTTTTTTAAATGAGAGACAGGCTCTCGCAGGGCATGTGGGGAGGAACTGGAAGGAGTAGAGATGGGGAAACCATAATTGGGATATATTAAGTGAAAAATATCTATTTTCAATAAAAGAAAAAACAACAAAGAAATAAATGACAATAAATCTAGACAATGATATAGAAAGAGAAACCCTTGTTCATGGTGGACTACAATCTGATACAGCCACTCTGAAAATCAGTGTGGAGAAATCTCAAAAAAGCTAAAATTAAATCTACCATAAGATTCGAACACTCCATTCTCTTACATACTCTCAACTACACGACATCCCACTCCACAGAAAACCGCTCAGCCGTGTTCACTGCTGCTCTGTTCTGTTCAGTAGTCATGAGAGATGCTTCCTCTAGCATCACCTTAAGAGGCCAGAGTTTTGTCATTGTTGGTTTTGATTATAATAGTTGAGACATAATACTTAGAGACATCTTGTAGGCTTAAGGTTCTAGCTTCATAAACATGGTACTAACAATAAGCACTATATAGTCTAAAGATTATTTACAAAAGTATATTTCAAGGTTTCTAGTGGCCACAAGGCTGACACAGAAGGTTGTTAGTCAAAAACATTCTCTTTGAGCAGATGTGTTTTAGTATATGAAGAAACTAATGAGCACAAACATTAATTTTTCTTAAAATTATGCCCCATTACATCCCACCTTTTAAAAAAAGAGGAGAAGGATAAGTAAATAAACACAATTAAATGTAGTAAAATATATATCAGAAAACCAACTAGCAAAAGGCAACTGGACATTCAATTTTGGAGAAATTTGTTCTCTGTGAAGAAAATGAAATTTTAGAATAAAAAGTATAGAATACAAATAATCAGTTGCATTTTGATCAGTTTTTTATTATTTCAAGTCACTATATGTTACTGTAGAATAGAAATTTTCAGTGATATGTCTCCACAGATTATAATAAAATCTCTGGTAGAATGTCTCGATTCTATATGTCCATGAATAAGTTAAGGTCAAATCTGATTTTCTTTACCTTAAACATTTTAAAGAAAGACTCAAATAATGATGAACTACTTGGTTTGGTATTACTACTCAATTTCTTGTTTCATACACACACACACACACACACACACACACACACATGCACGCATATGCACATATACATGCACACATGTACATATACAAAGTCAAGTATAACTGCATAAATAGGCAAACTGAAGGGAATCCTTGTGATTATGCAAGCCTCCAGACTCCAAGCATCTATTTATACATGATATTTTCATAAAATGATAAAAAGCAATAATTTATGTTAATTTATGTCTTAAGTTACCTATAACTGTGGCCAATTACCTGACAAGAATCAATCTAAGGGAGAAAGCATTTAAACATTTATTTTGACTCTTGGTATCATCATGGCAGGACAGTTGTGGGAGAGTTCATGGACTCCTCCCATCTCTGTAGAACAGGAAAAGAAGAGAGAGAGAGAGAGAGAGAGAGAGAGAGAGAGAAAGAGAGAGAGAGAGAGAGAATGCACACACAGGAGTGGCTTTGGACTGTGGCCCTTAAGGTTCATAGGACTCCTTCACTCCTAGCAGTGAGGCCCAGTCTCCACCAAGGTAGCCCTAGACCAGTATTCAAACAAATGGAGCCAATGGAATGCATTTTACATCTGAATCATGGCAGTTTACAAGTTAATCCCTTTTACTAAGTGCATAAATAAAAATTCTGTCCTACAGTTTCCAGGTTAATTATATTTATGTAATAGGAATCATCTCATGTTTATAATTTTCAGTGACATTTTGCCTATTGCCTCATCTTTTTAAAAATAAAATTTAATTTATTCTTTGATAGTTTCACACTTTCATGCACATATAATATAGTTTGATCATATTCAGCATACTATTGCAAGTAATTATTGTTTTGTAATTTCTCATGAAGTTTTATTCAACTAAAGCCTTGAAATAGTATTGTGGGTCTTACCTTGAGGAGTCTATTTCTTGTCACCTCTAGTAGAGAAGACAATGCTAGGATGAATAAATGGTTCTAAGTCTAGCTTGGTGAACCAATAAGTTTACTGATAACTTAAAGGAACATGGACAAGTGGTTATTTATTGGAACAGGGCTATTTACAGACAGATACCCAAACTACACCTGGCTGCTTTTGATGTGAATGGTCAAGAACTGTATGTTGGAACTCAGGAAGCAGAGACTGAAGGCGGTCCTAGGCAACAAGCCCAGAGACCCCGTTCGTGCTTATAGCATCCTTGAAATTGTCCAGCTACCCAGGCCCTGGCGCTATGGCCTATGATAGGAATAGGAAACACTGATGATCTTGAAAATGCCTTCAAAGCACCATTTGGCTTCCTTCTATCAAAACTATTCTTATTATCAAATGGTAGCTACGTTCTACCTTTGATATTCTTTTCCAAACATGACTTTTTGTTTTTCACAATTTGGAAATTCAAAAAAATCTTCCAAGTCTTTAAAGTCTACTTTTTTAAATTATAAAATCCATACATGTTTTATTTATTTTCTTTTATATTTTTATATAATCAGTTAAGAAAAACCATGAAGGTCCTTCAACACTTTGGATATTTCTTCTGCCAGATTGTCTGCCTTTTATTCTGTTTGACTGAGTTGAAAATGTGTTGACATAATGTTAGATGTGACATATTATCCATTATAGACTATGTGACAAGCCACAATAAAAGTAATTTTTCAAGGCAAATGAGAATAAAATTAAAATGGACAAAAAATATTGTTAGTATGAAATTTGAGTTAATATTAGAGTTATATCAATAATGAGAAATAGTGTATGCCTGTCAATATTGAATTTATATAGTTTACAAAAATACTGAATGTAAAGCAATTTTAATGTAATGCATGAGATTTAATGTTTTGTTTCACTTATTTCTGGAGTGGAGTAAGATGTTCAGTTACAGTAACTAAACATATATTAAGCTTTTTTGAAGCATAACTTGCTTTTTTTTATTATTTTCTTTGAGTGACAAACATTGTCACCTTTCAACATTGTCTGTATTCATTAGTTCCCAAGAGCAAAAACTAAAATTGATGTTCTCCCATGAAGCTGTTTTGTGAAAAGAAATGCTGGCTTTTTATAAATGTTCAGTAACTACAGCAATTTGATTTTTAAAGTTTAGCATTTGAATTATATACAAGTTTAAATTATTTTCTCCCTTAACTGAATTGTTTTCTTTTTTAATTGAAAATAGATTCTTCTCTCACACAATATATCCCAACCACAGTTTCCTCTCCCTTCACTCTTCACAGCTCCCCCTGCACCTCCCCTCTTTCCCACATCCACTCCCCGTTCATTTCCCTTCAGAAAAAAGCAGGCCTCTGAGAGACAACAACTGAACATAGCAAAACATAATACAATAAGGCAAAGCAAAAGTCCTCACATCACAGCTGGACAAGGCAACCCAACAGGAGGAAAAGAGTCCTGGGGCAGGCAAAAGAGTCAGAGACACACCCACTCCCACTGTTGGGAGTCCCACAAAAACACCAAACTAAAAGCCAAAGCCAAAATAGATAAGCAGAGGACCTGATGCAGACCCATGCAGGCCCCATGCTGGTCACTTCAGTCTCTGTGAGCCTAAAAGCAGTAGCATTATGCCATTTATAAAGAATATATTCTGGGTGTATTCTAAAGGAATTGCCTTTAAAGTCCCATCTTCCATTTCCTTATATGCAACACCATTTTTCTAGTGACTGAAACATTGTTTTTAATTACTGGGTAGCATTAGCTCCATGCTATAGGTCCCCTAAATCTCACTTTAAATAATATCACACATCCAAAAGTGTCAAAAATGTCATGAGTATATCTTAGTCTGAAGCAGGATTTAGGTTTTAGAGTATGACCTTCTTTATATTCTTTATAGTCCAAAGTAACTCCCTCCCCCTTCCCGCCTCTCTCTCTCCCTCTCTCTCTCTCTCTCTCTCTCTCTCTCTCTCTCTCTCTCTCTCTCTCTCTCTCTCTCTCTCTCCCTCTCTCTCTCTCTCTCTCTCGTGTTTGTGAGTTACTTTGGGTCATGGTATTTTATCACTGCAACAGAAAAGTAAGGTACATATACCATGACCCAAAGTAACTCACCGAAAGAGGTTGTGTGGCTTATCATACAAGAGGGTTGTCCATAATGGCAGAGAATGCATGTCATGCCTAAAGGAGCCCATGATTATTTTCATCCACAAACAGGAAGCAAAGAGAACAGGGGTGAGGCTATAAACTCTCAAAGACAGGTCCCAGGGACATCTAGAAAGGCTGCATCTTATAAAGGATCCACTACCTCATCAAGCAATGCCACCAACAGGAGACCCAGGATTCAAATACATGAGCCTGTGGGAGCATTTCTCA